GGACGTCTGCTCCCCTGGCCCTGCCCAGAGTGGGAATGGTGCTGTGACAGGGAGGGAAAGAAGGTACTTGGTGGTGGGGGTGGGGGTGGGGCAAGAGAGGCGGGTCTGGCCGGGTCTGGCCAGGTCTGACCTTCCCGGGACATGGCTGGCTGAGCCTTCACCTTCCTCTTGCAGGAGAGGTGAGACAGCATCATTTTGACCCCAGATCTCCAGGCACAGTTTTCTGGGTCCTGAGCACCAGCCTCCTCACTCTGAGGGTAACGGGAGGATGGAGGGGGACAGAGGAACACAGCTTTTGCCAAAGGGTCCCAAGCCAATGTGTGACTATCTTCTGAAGTGAGCTTCCCATCCTGGTCCTGAGTGAGGGGTTCTGACTTTGCCTGCCTTGCCTCCTTCTGCTCACTAACGAGGCTGCATCTTGGGTGAACGACTAAAACCTTTTTAACATCGCCCATCATCAAGTCATCTTTATGTACCAATTTGTTCCTAAAGTGGTAACTGGGTGCCCACCTCCACAGGGGGGCTGCGCCTAGTGGGACAGACTGGGACCTGCCAGGACGTCTGCTTTCTGGTCAAATGCTCACGCAGCCCGACATGCTGGGGACACGCAGACAGAGGAATACTAAACATTGAATACATACACAAAGAGACCAGATAAAATATTTGTCTTGCCTATAAGCCAAGGGCAAAGATATTTGTGGAACGGTAGGTATGTGTCTGTGTTTGAGGAAGCGTGGGGGGAGGGTGCTGCTAGCAGGCGCTGGTGTGTGTGGGGAGGGCGAGGGAGAGGAAGATGTTGCTTTCACTACTAGATCCCAGTGCTTTCCTGAAATTGCTGGTGGAACTGCAGAAGGGAGAACTTTGCTCGGTGGTGACATTGCATCTGGAGTCTGCCAGAAGGGGAAGAACTTGAAGGACATTCAGAGGTGGAGACAGAGTCCATGAAGGGAGGGTATACACCCAGGCGTGAGAGGGTGGCTGTGTTACCTCGACAAGTCTGGGAGGGGGACTTGCTGGGAGGGGAGAATAGTAGAGAGCATAGCTTTTAGAGTTCTGTTAAGAGCAGGTGGGGGGTTGGGGCAGTGGGAGGAGGGGGCTGGGAAAGTCCAGGTGACAGATGGCTAGGCTGCTGCAGGAATGTAGAAGAGGGAAAGAGAGTCAGGTAGGAATTAACAGCATATATTGAATGGGGGGGACCACACACCTAGCTCATATCCAGGTCTCCCTGGAGACAATGTTTTCATTAAACAATCATTGTAGAAATCCACAGTCCCCAGTGACTTGCCCCTATCTCTCAGGGCAGAATGTGAAGATCAAAGACCCAGCTAGACCACGCTGGAATCGAGGTACTGTGGCCAGACAGTAGAGGGCGCTGTGACTCAAACAGAAGTTAACCAGAAGCCACCAGAAGGAGGAAGCTGACCACAGGAAGGCTTGCAGTGGGTTGTTGGGTTTGCACCTTCTAAACTCATGGTTGGCCTTTAGTGCCCAATAAACACAGAGTGACATCCTTACAAGTAATTGCAGGGTTTTTCCAGGACGGACTGAAACAGAACAGAGGGGCCCGAAGCTGCTTGGCCATCATACCACTTGGCTTGTGCCCAGATAGCAGGGGGCCATAACCATTAATGCTACTCTCCTGAAATGGGAAAAAAAAAAAAGCCTCCCTCATTTTTAATAACTTTATTCCCCAAACTTCAAAAATGAAATTGCCAAGTTAAGAACTTGCCTTGAAAAAAAAAATTCTAATTTATTATAAAGAAGGTCCGGGGCTTGGGAATTTTTTAATGCAGATTCCTAATTTTCCAAAGTGAGATTCTCCTGTGCATTTGAATAGATTATGCTCGGTATTGCTAGCCCTTAGCACAACGGGAACATTATTAAAACGATTGCATGGGTCTCAGAGGAAGGGCTCTGCTTCTCGCTTCCTTTTTCATTTTGGGGACTTCGTATCAGACTGTCCGTTTTTGCCTGTGGAAGAAACTGGGCTTCCAAGGAGGTGATATAGAGATGTGCTCAGCTGTCCAGGCCTTGAGGAAACAAGTCATACCGGATCCAAAAGTAATGAGATTAGACCTAAAGGAATCGGAGGAAGTGGGGAATCCTTTTCAGAGAGCCCCGTTTAGGAAGGGACTCCCCTGTGTGCCTGACCCATGTTCCTATTAGGCCCGGCTTTCCCGAGGACATTGAGTGTCAGAGAGTAGCTGGTTCTCTAGGATAATGAGCATGATGAGGGCAATGGAGCAGGGCTTCCCCTGAGAAGCTGGGTTCAGCCTCTTGAAAGCAGAAAGGGAAGAAGGCAGGAGGATCACAGCAAGTTCCCCAGCAGAAGACTCACATAGAAGACATTCATTCCTATGTGGGAGCCCCTCCTAGAAGGCCCCAAAGAGTGTGGAGAAAGGACCCCTCCCCAAGAGCCAACCGGCCTCAAAGTCTAGTTCTCTGTCTCTGGAGAGAACAGCCTTCCCCCATGAGTCAGAGGTCCTTGTTCTGTGGCTCTCACTCACCTCTTCCATCCCGGCCATGTCATCAATGCCCAAACGACTCCCCACGACCCCCTATCCTGATCAGTCTCTTTGGGAACCGGGTTGGCTCAGGGAAGGCCCATGGCAATCCAGCCATAGCCTAGTGGCCTAGCCAAGGCCATAAGGACCCCAGACTTTGGCTCGGTCACTTGACCAGGGACACTGACACTTGCTGTCAGACGCCTCTTTCCTGGGCCCTGGGGTTACAAATAGATGCGTGGCTTCCTCAGGGCAAAGTATTCCTTTGCTGTAAATGGATTTTCTATGATGAAGTACTGGTGGCTCCTAAGAGAGGAGAGCCTTGCACAGTCCGTGCCCAGGGTGTCTACTCTGAGGCCCTAGATGGGGACCTGGAGCCTCCCTTCCTCCCCTCAAAAGGCTCGAGCCGCTCACCGGTGACTTCCGGGGGGCTGAGTGCCCGAGAGCTGTGGCCCTACCTCCATCACGTCCCTCAGCAGCTGGGATGTATTAGTTCTCAGCTGTATGCTGAGAATTCAATTAGGCTCCTGTACTTAACTACACCCGGATCCGCATTCTTGGACCACAGAGGCCCTGCTGCTGCGCTCTTGCTAATCCCCACCAAACCCAGCCTTCTCCCAGCTGCCCCAGCAGGCAAAACAACGCTTGGGGCGGGCGGGAGGGAGGCAGCGGCCACCAGCCGTGCCAGTCCAACGCTCTCTGACCTCTTGGCCCTGCCCTCGGCTGTCCCCGAGCCTTGCGTATGAGGCCTTTGCACCCACTACCTGCTGAGGATAGGAAATGGCCCCATGTCCATTCGCCATTTCTACTGTGGAGCTAGGAGAGCAGGATCCAACTACAAAAGGAACGGAGCCAAAGTGCGTGCCTCTTTATCGGGACCCCGGGGGTCCCCAACACTGCCTGAGCAGATGAGAGAATGATGTCTGTGTCTACTGAGGGAGGAGGAAGCTAGTTCCCCATTACGGCTCCTAGGTCTCCCCAGTCCAGGCCTCCTGCACTTCGTTCTGACTATGGAGGGGAGGGTCCTGACGTAGTGTTGCATGCCTGGAACTTTCAAATAGAGGAACCATGTAAATGCCGAGTCCACCCCTGCAGTCATTCGTGGAAAGCTACTGACGTGGGCAGAAGGCTGGCCGCACAGGAGGCTAGGTTGGGGAGAGCTGAGGAAGGCATGGAGTTGACATGTTGGCGCACGGGTGGGGATAAAAGGACGTGTGCTTTTGAATTTTTAGGGGTGAGGGGAGAGGAGTCCGTGGTGGTCTGCATGCTGGACGTTCTGGAAAGTGGTGATTTCCTGGGGTGGGGGGTGGGGGTGGGAAACAGGGATGGATGGCGCAGCTGCTACATGCTCACACCAGGCTGGGGGTGTCAGGATCCTAGGACCGTATGTGTGCAAAAGTCTGCCCACCCTGTGCTGCGTCTTAATATCCCTCGTGCGCTGCACAGATCTCCCACGTGGTCCCTGAGAACGGCTGTGTGTGAAAGCCTCAGGAGGAAGGGGCATCAGAGCAAAGACCGGCTGCCGGATCCCGGGTGCACAGTAGGCTCTCACTGCACGTTTGTTGAGTGAATGAGTGAACGAGGGTTCTAGCTAGCTGCAGTTCACATTGCAGATCCTCAGTAAACCCTTCCTGGAGTCATACTGACTTGAGAGACCGGGGTAGAGAAAATAGGAGGAGGTGGAGGTAAGGGCCAGGGAACCGACGCTCCTGTGACAAACCGCAAAACTAACTCAGGGTCTCCAGAGAACCAAGTGTGGAGAGAGGTGCGTGCGGTGGGAAGCATGGGTCCAAAGTGATGGGTCTGAAGGACCAGGGGGAGCCCAACCCACCAAAGCTGGGCCAGGCCTCTAGAAGGAGGGGAGGAGACAACAGGAATACAGTGTGAAGATGCCACCTTCTCAAGAGGTGCAACCAGGATGGAGTCTCAGGAGAGCTCTGGGGGCTGCTGGGTCAGAGCTGAGGGATGGAACCGGGGGAAAGGGCTGGAGGACGTAGAGATAGAGTCATGGCCTTTTTCTAGCAAGAAGCCGACAGAATCCTGAACAGAAGGGTGATACCTGGAATGGGCAGCCAGAGAAGGATGGGACAGAAGGGCTCCAGTGACCAGTAAATGGGGGGGATCTGGTACAAAGGAACCTCTAATTAAGGTTTCCCCAGATACTCAAAAGCAGACTCGATTTACCTGCATCTGGATCTCCCTGAGTGAGGGGTTGGGTGCATTAGCGGGAAGCAGGGTGAGGGTGGGGGCAGGACCATGACTGGGTGCTCCAGATGACGGTCCCAGATGTTGGTGACAGAGCTACTCAAGTAGGATCTGAACCCCGTTTTGTCAAATGCAATGGCCCCTCCAGGGGTCTGTGTTGGCCAGCTCTCCAGAGCCGGGGGGGGGGGGGGGGAGCCCAGAGAGTGGCCAGGAGACAGCTGGGGTAGGCCTCGCTCTGTCCCGCCCAGGGAAGGCCACCCCCTTCCCATCATCTGGTCAGTCGACACTCACCTGCGGGCTGTCCTGGTAGGGTGGGGGAGGGACATTCTGCGTGGCCATCATCGTCAGAGCGGGGGCTGGGGAGGCATGTTGCATCATGGGATTGATTCACATCGAGGATCTGTGGCAGGAGAAAGGGGGCCGCACCGTTAATAGGCTGAGCGCAGGGAGCCCTGGGGACCGGCCGGCTCGACATTTTCTCAGGCTGGGCCACCTGGACTGACGGACTGACGGGCTACAACAAGCGCTGGAGGCCCTTTAGGGGAACAAACAGAGAGCTAAGGGGAGAGGCCGGGGTGGGGAGGAGCTTGCTGTGCTCTTCTGACTTGAAAGAAACGATATTCAAATTACATGTGAAACAACCTGTACGTAGCCTCCTCGTAGCCTCATAGCCTCGTCTTTGTTCAGCATCAGCTGGGGCCTGGTGGGGGGGAGGGGAAGGAGTAGGGGAGCCTGGCTGGTGGCAGGACAGGGCATTGGCGGCCATTCGGGTATCCCACAAGACAAGGGCCCTGGCCCTTTCCCAGGCTTCTGGAACAGCCACCTGCGCTCTCAGGGGCAGGAGGCCCCCACCTCCCGACCCCAGGGTCTGCGAGCGCGGACTAACCCCTCCCGGGTGTGCTCGCCACACCCCCTAGTGGCCGAAAAGGGAGGTGGGGGCGCAGGTCGGCTCCCGGAGACCGGAGGGTGGAGCCGGCAGCACAGGGCGACCAGTTGGTCTTCAGGGAAAGGAAAGAGGCTGGGGGACATCCGAGAGCCTGGGTGAGCCTCCCGTCACTTGCCGAGTCTTTCCAGGTGTGTGCTTGTGACTGTGGGCATATGGATGTGTCTGCAACATTCTTTTAAGTAAGCCTCCTTAGCCTGCGTTCAGTATAGAGTCCCCGGCACCTGGGGCCAGAAGAGCAGAGCCAAGTCCACCCCCTCTTACAGAGGAGGAGACAGAGGCCAAGAGGAATGATGTGTGTGTGGTGGGGGCGGGGCAGTGCTAGTGAAGCAGGGATTGGACCCGAATCTCCAGGTGCCCTGTCCCCGCTGCCCCCTACCCATCACCAGTAAGTGAGCTGCCCCTCCTGGGCCTCAAGGTTTCTTCTTGAAATGGAACGTGGTGCTGTAAGTGGAGACAGCCTGGCAATACCCCCCCCACCCCTCCCCCGCCCCAAGGAAACAGACCGCCCAGAAAGCTGTTGAGCTACACTAGATGCCCTGAAATATTTAGAGCTGGAAACTGCGGGCTCATTGCCCGCCGCAGGCCTGTCCATCGTGGGGCCTGGAAACTCCTAAGAACCTCTGTGGGGGGAGGGGCCTATCCTTCTCCTGGGGGGAGGGGCCTATCCTTCTCCTGGGTGAAGGGTGCTGATGAGCTAGAAACATTTGTGAGCACAGACTCAGACCTTCCCTCCCCTCTCCCTGAGGGCACTGTGGGGCTCCATCCTCATCCCACTGATGCCCCCCATGCCTTCCCTAGCGTTTTCTGAAATGTTCATATATGTGAATTCTGTGGTGATCTGAGGGTGTTTGGAGCTGCCTAAGGGAAGGGGCTGGTCTCCAGAGCCCTGAGGTGTGTGTGTGTGCGTGAGAGAGAGAGAGAGTGTTTTTGGTTATTTTTCAGGAAGAGGAGGAAGCAGCAAGCCTGGCCTGACCTGAGTCTGTGCACTAGCTATGCTCTGACGTTAAGTGCGTGCAGGAGCGCTGGCCATGTAGGTGTTCATTCAAGGACTATTTATCAAGTGTCAACTACAAGCAAAGAGCTAGGAGATGTGGGAGGATAAATGAAAGGAGGCAAGATCTCCTCTCCAAGGAGTGTTATCAGTCGGGAGGTGATGGCCCAGCGGGCCAGAAGAAAGAGAAATGAAGGTTCCGGAGGAGACAGCAGGAGACAGCGTAGGGAGAGAGGGCTTCTGCTGTGCCTGCAGGGCATTCCCCTTGACCTCTCTGCTACCTACAGCTTGCCTACCCTGGCTTTACCAGGGTGTCTTTGCAGCAGAAACACTCAGGGTCTCCCCACCTCACGCACACATGAGGCACCCAGATCCATGTTTTATTTATGCAAAGTGTCAGGAGGGAGCCCTTGGGGGAGCCAGTCACTTCAGGCGGGAGAACCAATGCCTGTGTTCGTGGTTGGCTCTTTGTCTGGGTGGCGGTACACATCCAAGGAAAGCAAGAGCAGAGTGGAAAGGGTTCCCGAGGAAAAAAGAGGATAGAGACTCCTTGAGATGTCAGAAGAAACTTCCAGAATTAAGATGTTTGAGACATTAAAATGGGTGTGGAATCTCTTGTGGACCCTGAGGGACAAAAGGAAATCGGGATATTTCAGGGGTGTGTTAGGCTCAGCCTTTCCTGGAACTCTGGCAGACGAGGTAACTTTGGTTGGGGCCTCAGGACCTGCCTTCAGGACCTCTTCCCTGGAGCTCCAGTCTTGGATGCTCCTCCGCCGGGGAGAAAGTGAACCACTTTGGGGCTGTAATGCCAGCAGCCTCCAGAAGAGGGAGCCTGGGGGCAGAGTCTGGGGTGGGAGCTCTCACTAGGCGGTTTCTCTCCCCTCTTAGGGGCAACTGGTTCCCTTTAACCTCGGGTTTGGGTCTTGGGGTAACCTCATTCCACGGATGAGAAAGTCAGTAAAGGCAGAGCAGAGGATGCTCAATAGGGAGGATTGGGGCTAAATAGAGGGGGCTTTAATCTGCATTCTTTTGTTCACTGTCCAATGAATGGGAGGTAGGGTCATTTTAGAGTTGTTGTCCCTAGAAATATTTGCAACTTGGCAGGAGGGCTCCCCAGCCTGGGGGCAAGGAGAGATGGGTAAAAGCGGTCTGCAGCCAGAAGCAACCCCCGACGCCCAGGCTGAGAGGAGATTTTTCAGTCTGGAGTCTGTCAGGCTGTGAGCAGGGGCCAGACCCGCCTCGCCAGAGGACACAAGAACAATTTTCTGAGGACCCGGATGGCCTTTGCCCCTCCCCTCCCCCTCTCTGGGGTCACCACAGGCCACTAGGCCACTAACCCATTGCCCTCTGGGGGCTTCTCCTGCCAGAGAACAGGAGGTCTTTTCATCAGGGGCTTAAGTTTCATTGGTTCTCTGCTCACTCAGGCACAGAAGCCTCTGTTAAGGAGACACTGGGGGAGACCCCACACCCATCTCTGGAAGCTTGCTCTTTTCTTCACACCACTCCACAAACACAGGCACTCCCCCATCCTTGGGGAAGCCCAATGGCTAGGCTTGGAGGGGGAGCAGGGCTGGGGGATGCATGGAAGGACCCTGGAGAGGAAAGGGGAATCCAGCTTCTCTCGTCTGAAACTGGGCCCAGAGAGACGTCATAGTGGGTGGGGGGAGCTCCTTGAGCAATCCCTGGGTGCCTGGCCCTTTTTGCACTTTGTTTGAGAGTACGGAGGGGAGTAGCAGGCCTGTGCTCTAAAAACCCAGCCTGGGGCTTCCGGCACTTTTCCGTGGCTCAGAGAGGCTGCTTGGCCCTGTTCAGAGGCCCCAGCGCTCTGTTACCAGACACCAGGGCACTCAAGGGAGCGCACCCAAGCCTGCAAATGGAGGACGCACAGGGAATGATTTACCACCGAGAGACTTCCCGTTGAAGGCAGGCTTATGTCAAAAGATTGTTCTTAATGCTGAAAACCTTTATTATAGGACAGCTGAGGGGGTAAAATCCCCTAACGCAACATTCAACCCCATAATGATATCCAAGAAGAAATAATTCGTGTCACTGATATCAAAAGGAGCTAAAGCCGCCATTTTACAGAGCTCCGGAGCCCAGTAAGGCCGTGTTGCACAGATTGGGGGTGGGTGAGGGGGGACAAAAAGACACCCCTTTAGGAAGTAGGAATGGGCAGCCCAGGAGTTACCCACTCCCTGTCTCCTCTACGCTTGCTCCCCCCAGCCCTGCAAGGTGAGGCCCTGGGTCTGTAGCCCAAACTCCAGTGTGTTGACAAACAGGCTTAGAAAAAAATCGCAAGGTCGTTAGGAAGGAGCTCATTAGGACTTGTTGACATGAAACCCATTAGACCAATTAACATTCCATTAACGGCCTGGGGCACCAAGGGGTTAATGCTGCCCGGCAGTAATTGGGCTGGGGTGCTGGGGTTGGGGGCTCAGGGCCTTAAGGATGAGAAACAAAGTCTAATTGGGAGCTCTCTGGCCAGCTGGCCCGACAGTGACAGCATTTGTTCTTGCCCTCTGACCCTAGCTGAGACTACATCGTATCCGGACCCACTTAGGGACGGGGGCGGGACCAGCTTCCCTTTGGCTCCTCACTGTCGCACCTCTTTGCCCTAGATGGGAGACTGGGCGGATGGTGGGCAGCGGCCGAGGTGTGGATGTATTTCCACCCTTTTGGACTCTGATAGTCCTGTTTTCTTCATCCATCCCTGCCCCACCCCCTTCTGGTCCAGTTTCTCTCTTAGCGCCCAGGGAAGAAAGTCCCCTCTTCCTCTCCTCAGTTATGCGTGTGGGACCTACGCTTACAAAAGTTCTTTGAAGAGGCTAGAATCCTTGAGGCCCCAGAACCTGATTCATCTGAAGAGTGTTGTAGTTTAGGGCAGAGGGGTGAGGGGAGGGAGCATTGGCCCTGGGTCTTTCTTCCTTCCTCCCCTCCCTCCCTCCCTTCCTCCCTGCCTTCCTTCCTTCCCCAGAAAGGAAGCTAAGACACACTGCGGAGGGCCCCACAGAAGCCCTTCTCTTCTGTCCTCCGACACACACCAGCAGGATTTTCATTATTTTCCTTCCCTAGCTACAAGTAGAGGCTGTGGAAGTCCCATCCCCTGACTGGGCCTCAATTTCCTCTTTTGTAAATTCCCATGATTGAAGCCTGTGCTCAGGGTCAAAAAGTCTGGATTCCTCATCTAGCTCTGCCACTTACCTGTGGCTAGTACAAGTCACGTTCCCCTCTTGGACTGCAAAATGAGGGATTTCACCAGAATATTCTCAAAGTCTTTGCCCAGGGTTAGCCCTCAACACAAGCTTTGTTGAATGGAATGGAAATGGTTGGCTTGTAGCTTCATCTCAAAGGCTAGCCAGCTTACGTATTCTCCTCCTCACTTCCCATTCGAGAGTGAGGGAGGGAGGCCCCTGAGGCAGGAGAGCCAGGGGCTTTCCTCAGCACCCCCAGCCCAGGAGCCCCC